GGATCACTCGTATGGCGAGTGATCTGGAAGTGTCTGAAAGCGAACTCCACAGCAATGGTAACGAATCGGTGGTTAAGACACGACTCGTGAATAGGAATCCAAGAAATTTGGAACAACTTCTGTTCGACAAGAAGCCATTGGGTTATGAACTGGATTTGCCTCAAAGAACCTTCTGGAACAAGTCGGTGACCATTATATGGCTACACTAATCAGTGGCTAATTATTTGCCATTTCTATGTCTTAAGGATTGTCTTCGAGAGCGGCGGTAAACACTTGACGGCAAAGATTGTCCACAACTCGGGACGGGTTGTCGTCAGCGCCAGTACTCGCGAGACAGCCGTTGGACAGCAGCTCAAGAGGTATGAGATTTGGTGTCCAATGATAGCCATAATGAATGTCTTAATGAGTGATGTTTTGGTCCAACAGTTCCAGTGGTGTGTCTGCGGCCACGAGTTTAGGACATGTGTTGGCGTTGAGGGCCATAGAGAGCGGTATTCTTGAGGTGTTTGTCGGCATTGAGTACGAGTCCAACGAATCACTCAAAGTATGCGTCAATTGATTGTCACTTCATTTGATCCGTCGTTTCATTGATATCTCCATTGAAACCACAGGTGAAGGCCTTTCTCAGCGCTCTTAAGGCCAATGGACTGGTATTAGAGGAACAGCCGTTTGTTTTCGAGAGACAGCGAAGGGATCACTAGTTTAGACACTCTTTGGAGCAATGATTCAAACAAATGGTGTTTTTCTAATCATTTTTGTCGTGATTTTCATTCATTTCTATTAGAGTTGTATTCAAATTAAATACAAAAATACAAATAAATTAATAAATATTAAAATGTTTGTGAAATTAAGTTATGTTTTAGTTTTGTTAATAATATTCACGTTATTCTCGTTTTGCATATATTTTGGGTTATATTCTGTGGAAAGGAGTACTGAAAGGAGCACTGAATTGAACACAAATGAAGTACTGGTGCCCACGAGTGTCGGCGCTTTTGTCGGCAATTTAGTCACATTTGGCGACAAATCTGTGTCCGTATTCTTAGGCATACCATACGCTAAGCCACCGCTGGGTTCACTGCGATTCAAACCTCCCGTTCCTCTCACGGAATCCACTCATAGAGTGTCAGCCAATCGGTGGCCAAACCCTTGTCTCCAGAAAGACAACCACTTAGTGCTAAACAACTATAACTTCAG